GAGCCACCCTAGCCCATGGACTAACAGTATTTCCACCCACAGTCATTCCATTCATTAGCCCAATGACTATAAAAGGGGCTGTATTGCACTTAGTCAAAAATGTGGGCCACCACACTGGCTGTTAGCTTGATCACTAAAAAAATGAAAGGACTGTATTTTTAAAAGTAGATGAGGTATTTGTATTTGATAAATGATATAATTGCATTTGGCCCACAGCCCTCAAACATATTTTCATTTTGGTAAAAAGGTTTTGACACCCTTGATACAGTATATAAACTGAAACAGCTAGAGTAGTGCATCCTAAATTTAACAGAAAATAATTTTAATACCGCACAGTCATTTCTGCATTTTTTGGGGAGGTCACCTCCTAATAAATGTCATTACGGAAAATATAACTGCTTATTTTACATCAATACTTTTACTTTTAATACTTAAGTACAAAAAATATCATACTTTATTACTTTTGCTCAGGTAATATTCCTAAATGAGACTTTAACTTTTACCATAGTAATTCTTTGGTAAGATACTTCTACTTGTGCTCAAGTATCCCTTTGTGGTACTTTATACAACACTGATTGTTTTGACTCATTCATGCATGTTTAAGAAATCCTGTGCTGTCCTGATGCAGCCAGGCAGGGGAGCAAAAATGATCGGGTGGGCCTAGGACCGCCTTTTGGGATCAGCTCCTCCTCTGGGCTGTGTCTCCAAGCTGAGCTTCCTCATCACAGAGCCCACCTCCCCCACCCCCTGGTCCACCCCACAACTCCTGCCGGCTATTGGCAGCAACAACTAGCAATCAGTGGGTGAAACCGTGTCTGCTGAGGTCATCGTACTACTTCTCATACTACTTCTCAGTCCAGTTATTTTCTGATTAAAAATACATTTGAGGACATGTATTTTCAGATGCCAAGAAAACTACTCAGAGCTTCTGGATCACAGTGCCCAACACTCCCACCATCCACCCATCTGCCCAGGTAAGCCGAAAAACAACTCATGTTGTTTTGTTAACATCGTTGTTTGGTCTATGTGTGATCTAAAGTTAGCATTTGTAACTTATATTACAACCAGTATGTGTATGTGGATGGCTGCGAAACAATCTTACCAAGCTGAAACATTGTCTCCAATTACTTCGGTTCTTCAGAAAACATACTTTCTGGTCCAATAGTAAGGTTCTTATGTGATGCAATTTTTCAAAACCAAGATTGTATCATGTTGCTCATTTTTTAATTACCTCTGCCAAGGGCGAGGTAATTTTTTCGGTCGCTTATGTCTGTCTGTCCATCTGTCTCGTCGTTCTGTCGTTCTGTTGTTCTGTCATTCTGTCGTTCTGTCTGTGGACATTACTCAAAAACTTGTGGACAGATTGTCATGACATTTTTACCACTTGTGGGTACTGGCTCAAGTTATACACCTTTAAATTCAGGTGATGTTCCGGATCATGATGCGGATACAGGAATTTTTTTCTTTTAACACTCTGACATCGGCAAAGCTGTGATGCTTTCACAGGGCGTGGGTTTCAAAGTGTCCAGCAGGTGGCACTATAGTATTGTGTGCCCTTTTGTAACTCTGTTACAGGATGGGGGAAATTGGTCTTGGTGGAGGTTTGCACTCTCCGAGTGCTTCTAGTTACCACTAAAACAAAGTGTGTTACGACGCTCAAGGTAGTAAATGGCATGAGGTTTTTTTTTTCTTCACTCTGCACCATTTTCATTCATGGCATGATTGGCTTTTTTATTTTAGTTTTTGTTTTACTTATTTAAGTTGTTTTGTTTTATTAATTAAATAAATTGAATAAAATCCATCCATCCATTTTCTGTACACGCTTCTTCCTTTTCAGGGTCGCGTGGGTCACTGGTGCCC